GATCAAGTAAATTTTATTTCTAATATTTCATTAATCTTCAGTATTGTATTGGCAATGAGCCTTAGCATAAAATAAGTTCCCATAATGAAAGAGTATGTGATTGATTAACGATGTCTGGCATGGATATGGGATAATTGCAAGTGTGGCAGACATTTTCTATACCAAATTGATTCTCTTTCTGCATCACTATCCCAAGCGCCAATGTCTATTAGGCAAAAATTCTAATATTGACTTGCAGCTATGAATGGATATACATTTGGAAGCCTTCCAGGACTCTCTATGTGTGCAGAAGACAGAGTGAAATGGTATCTTTTTGGTATGGGTAACGAAATTGACGTGCATGCAGCTTTCTTTCATGGTCAAGCACTGACCAGCAAGAACTACCGTACTGATGCAATCAACCTATTCCCTGCCACCCTATTTGAAGCTTATATGGTGGCCCAGAATCCTGGAGTCTGGATGATCAGTTGCCAGAACCTAAACCACTTGAAAGGTAAATATATTCACCTCTACTTAGCTGTCACTTGTAAAAACAGTTGTATATTAGTAACTGTACTAGTAGAAGATGGTTGAGGAAAAGCAGAATCAAACAGCTGATTAGGTAATCTGAACACGGAACTATACTTGTTTTATTTTTGTAATGTTTACATCATAATGTAATAAAATCAGGTAAGCCTGGGATTTTTATTGATTTTATTGAGGTATACATTTTTTTCTCTGCTCCCTTTCCCTGTCACTCCTCTCCCCTTCAGACTCTCCCATGGTCCCCATGCTCCCAATTTACTCAGGAGATTTTTGTCTTTTTCTACTTGTCATGTAGATTAGATCCATGTATGTCTCTCTTAGGCTCTCATTGATGAATAAATTCTCAGAAATTTTGATTTGTGGGCTGGTTTTCTTTGCCTTATGTTTAAAAACCACTTATAAGTGAGTACATATGATAATTATCTTTCTGGAGCTGTGTTATCTCACTCAGAATGATGTTTTCTAGCTCCATTCACTTGACTGCAAATTTAAAAATGTCATTATTTTTTTCTGCTGTATAGTACTCCATTGTGTAAATGTACCACATTTGCCTTATCCATTGTTTGGTCAAGAAGCATTTAGGTTGTTTCCAGGTTGTGGCTATGACAAACAATGCTACTATAAACATAGTTGAGCACATGTCCTTTATGGTACATTTGAGCAGTTTTTTTTTGTGGAGGATATATACCCAAAAGTGGTATGACTGGATCTTGAAGAAGGTGGTTTCCTAATTTTCTAAGAAATCGCCATACAGATATCCAAAAAGGGTGTACCAGTTTGCACTCCACCAGCAATTCAGGAGTATTCCCTTTACCCCACAATATCTCCAGCATAAGTTGTCATCAGTGTTCTTGAGCTTAAGCCTGGGATATTTATAAAGTAATAAGATCTGAAGAAAATATTAATTTCTGGAATATAGCAATGACTCCTGCCATGAAAATATAGTATCACTTGTAGTTTCTCAATGTAAAAATAGAGTTCTGTAAAAGCAGGTTTACACATTATACTGTAAAGTAGCTTGTACCTTTTTTTTTTACTTGTGTCAGGTAAAACTAACTGTGTTATTTGTGATGTATCTGTTCTTTGTCCTAGTTTGTGAAAATAATTTCTGTGTCTGTAGCACAAAGTATAAGAACATTCTTAGTTCTGTTTTATTTTACATTCTTAGTTCTTAAAACCTATTTGTGAAATTTTCTCCCAAGGATATTAAACTTTGAAAAACTTACTTCTTGAAAGGCAATTCCCCCAAAAGACTATTATTTTAAAACATCCAGCCCCTCAAAATAAAAGGCTGGTTCTATTAAAGTTCTAGTGGTCATGTGACATTGAATCACTGGACTCTCAAGAGGAATCCCATGACAACTGGTTTCTTACTCTGAAAACTTACATTTTAATGTCCCTTTTTATTCATAAACACATTAAAAGATTTGTCTGTTTCAAAATAAATTTTTCATCGGTAGTCTGTTCATCGGTGTTTGTCATGTTTCATTGCATCATCTCTCTTAATGAATTTGATTTCTACCTGTCATCTCATCAGCAATTGCCACAACTCACAAGAGCCTTCTCTGTGGTGTTTCAGCTGGTTTGCAGGCCTTTTTCCAAGTTCACAACTGTAACAAGCCCTCACCAGAGGCTGACACTGGGGAGAAACATGTGAGACACTATTACATTGCTGCTGAAGAAATCATCTGGGACTATGCGCCTTCTGGGACAGACACCTTCACGGGAGACAACTTAACAGCCCCAGAAAGGTAGTGGCCCTCCAAAGGTCATTTCCTTTATGAGTAATGATATTAAGTGCCTATGTAGGGCTAACTGGCTATATATATATCCATTCATCTTCAGAGAAATGTCCATATTTGTTCTTTGCCCAGTTTTGAATGGAATAATTTGTTTCTGTTGGTATTTATTTTTTAGGAGTGCTATATAGCCAGAATATTAGTCCTTCATCAGATATTCAACAAATGTTTTTCTCCTATTGTGTAGTCTTTCACCCTCTGAATGTGTTGTCGGGGTCTCTGTCCTGCCAGTTTCCTGCAGTCATTAAGTCCCAAAGAAATCACACAGAGTTCTATATTAGTTATAAACTGATTGACCCATTAGCTCAAGCTTCTTATTAACTATTATAACTTATATTAGCCCATTATTTTTCTCTGTTAGCCATGTGGCTCTGTACCTTATTCAGCTAGGCAGTCTCATTTTGCTTCTTCTGTGGCTGGGTCAGGACTGCAGACTAGGACTTTGTTCTACCCAGAATTCTCCTGTTCTCCTTAACCCACCTCAACTTCCTGTCTGGTTGCCCCACCTATACTTCCTGCCTGAATACTGACCAATCAGTGTTTATTTAAAATATAATTGACAGAATAAAGACCATTGTCCCACACCATGAATTGTGTCATCTGCCACACACAGGTTACACTTTCTATGTGCCTGCATTTTATTACCTGATACATTCTTCCTTTCTTAGTCTTCCTTTTCTATCTGCAACATTCCACAAAGCAGAAAAGATGATATATCAAAAGTTAGCAGGCACCATTGAGATGACTCAGTGGGTCATTAGCAAGCCTGATAACTGAGGACCTACAAGGGTGGAAGAAGCCAGCTGATTCTTGAAAGTTGTCCTCTGATCTTTACCACTTTTACAACACAGCACACATGGGCACATATACACAAAATAAATAAAAGTGATTATTTTTAAATGTCTTCAAGATTATGCCATTAATCCATGCCTATATATGTAACAGTACTGTTTCACAGAAATTTTGTTTGTGACCAATCTTTTCAAAAAAAATCCCCTTTTAAAAAGTTTAAGAAGTTTATTTTGTGTTACTGCATGTTGGATAGTTGACTCTGGCTGTGGACAGGTCTGTGACTCTCCTAAAACACAGAATTAAGTACCAGACAATACTGACATTCGCATGACAATTCCCAAAACAGTATCTCCGACCTAAAAAAGTCTTACAAATTTCAGATTTGTATTTCCATTCTCTTTTTTAATTTTTTATTACTTTAAAAATAACACCAATCAAAACTCCCACTTCCTCCCCTCATCCCACTTTCTCCCACTCTGCCCTTCCCCTCCCCCCACTCCCTCCAGTTCTAAGAAAGGGCAAGGCACCCTGCCCTGTGGAAAGTCCAAGGCCCTCCCCACTACATCCATGCTGAGCATGGTATGCATCCAAAGAGAGTAGGATCCCAAAAATTCAGTACATGCAGTAGAAACAAATCCCAGTGCCATTGGCCGCTCAGTCTGCCCCAACTTTCAAACACATTCAGAGGGACCAGTTTGATCCCATGCTCATTTATTCCCAGTCCAGCTGGATTTGGTTAGCTACCATTAGCTCAGGCACACTCTCTCAGCGGGTGAGCCCCTCACGGTCCTGACTTCCTTGCTCATATTCTACCTCCTTCTGATCTTCAAATGGACCTTGCAAGCTCAGTTCAGTGCTCCAATGTGGGTCTCTGTCTCTGTCTCTGTCTCCATCTGTCACCAGACGAAGGTTCTACGGTGATATTCAAGACAGTCATCAGTCTGACTACGGGACAAGGCCAGTTCAAGAACCCTCTCCTCCACTGCTCAGGGTCCTAGCTGAGGTTATCCCCGTGGACTCCTGGGAACCCCTCCAGAGTCAAGCCTATTATCAACCCCAAAATGGCTCCCTCAATTAAGATATCTCCTTCCATGCTCTCATATCTGTTCTTTATCCATCTCCACCATTCCACTCCCCCAAGCTCCCAACCCCCCTTCTCCCCTCTCCCTCACCCTCTTCTCTTCCCTCTACTCTCCTCCTCCCTAACTCCATGCTCCCAACTTTTGCCAGGCAATCTTGTCTGCTTCCAATTTCTAGGTGGATCTATACATGTTTATTTTGGGGGGTTCATCTTATTACTTAGCTTCTCTAGTATCATGAACTATAGGCTCAATGTCCTATATTTATGGTTAGAATCCACTAATGAGAGAGGACATACCATATTCATATTTTGGGGTTTGGGTTATCTCACTCAGGATAGTGTTTCTACTTCCATCCTTTTGCATGCGAAATTCACGATGTCATTTTTTTAACCACTGAGTATTACTCTAATGTGTAGATGTGCCACACTTTCTTTATCCATTCTTCTTTTGAGGGGCATCTAGGTTGTACCAAGGTTCTGACTATTTCAAACAATGCTGCTATGAACATAGTTGAACAAATGATCTTGTAGTATGATTGGGCATCTCTTGGGTATATTCCCAAGAGTGGTATTGCTAGATCCTGAGGTAGGTTGACTCCAAATTTTTTGAGAAACTGCCACACTGATTTCCAAAGTGGTTGCACAAGTTTGCATTCCCACCAGCAATGGATGAGTGTTCCCCTTATTCCACATCCTCTCCAGCATAAGCTATCATTGGTGATTTTGATTTTAGCCATTCTGACAGGTGTAAGATGGTATCTCAAATTTGTTTTGATTTGCATTTTCTTGATAGTTAAGGAAGTTGAACATATCCTAAGTATCTTTTGGTCATTTGGATCTGAGAGGTAAGTCAATACCCACAAGCCCAAATAGCCAGATGCCCCACTCTCCATGACCTTATCAGTGGGCCAGAACCTTGGAGCCCCTCCATAACTCCCTAGCTTTTCTTGCCAGCCAGCTGGGAGTGTCCCTGCTGCTAGACTTTCCCCCAGTCTATCCTGCCCCTAAGCCTGCCTTTTCACCTGTGAGGTCCTTGGAATCCTGCAACACACCTGCTCCAGTGCTGAGGGGATCTAAGAGAGGACGGACCAAGAAAAACTCCCAAGTACTCAGTCAGTCACAGCAAAGATTGGACCAAGACACCAAGACTCTGTTGGCCTCATTTGAAGGAAGAGATGGGCAGGCACCAATGCAAGAATTCCTCCAACATCCTGAAAAGCAACGTGGTAACACCAGAATCCAGTGAACATGCAGCAGGAAGACTTGAACACTCTAACCCAGAAGAAGTAGAAGAAAACTATTTTAAACGTAACCTTATGAAAATGATGGAGACCTTTAAACAGAAAGTGAAAAACTCCCTTAAAGAAATGGAAGAGAAGACAAACAAAAAGTTAGAAGAAATTAATAAATCCCTAAAAGATAACCAAGAAAACCAAGAAAAAGCAATCAAACAGGTAAAGGAAACAGTTCAAGACTTGAAGACTGAAAAGGAGGTAATAAAGAAAACACAAACCAAGAGAAGGCTGGATATGGAAAATCTGGGTAAACTAACAGAAACTACAGAGACAAGTTAAAACAACAGAATACAAGAGATAGATGAAAGAACCTCAGGCGCTGAATATACTATAGAGGAAATAGACTCATTGATCAAAGAAAACATTACATCTAACAAATTCTTAACACAAAACATCCAGGAAATCTGGGACACCATGAAAAGACCAAATCTAAGAAAAATGGGGGTAGAAGAAGGAGAAGAACTCCAGTTCAAAGGCCCAGAAAATATATTCAACAAAATTATAGAAAAAAAACTTTCCCAACCTAAAGAAGGATATCCTTATAAAAGTACAAGAAGCTTACAGAACACCAAATAGACTGGATCAAAAAAAATCCCCCTTGCCATATAATAATCAAAACACAAAACATACAGAATAAAGAAAGAATATTAAGAGCTGCAAAGGAAAAAGGTCAAGTAACATTTAAAAGTAAACCTATCAGAATTACTCCTGACTTCTCAATGGAAACCATGAAAGTCAGAAGGTCTTGGATAGATGTGATGCAGACACTAAGAGACCATGGATGCAAGTGCAGACTACTATATCCAGCAAAGCTTGCATTCACCATCGATGGAGAAAACAAGATATTCCATGAGAAAATCAGATTTAAATAATATGTCTTCATAAACCCAGCCTTACAGAAAGTACTGGAAGGAAAACCTGAACCCAAGAAAGCTAACAACACTCACAATAACGAAGACATCTGATAACTCTCCACCAACAAACTCAAAGAAGGGAAACAAACTAACACTACCACCAAAAAATAACTGGAGCTAACAACCACTGGTCATTAATATTACTTAATATCAATGTACTCAATTCACCTATAAAAAAAAGGCACAGGTTAAGAGAATGGATACAAAAACAGGATCCAGCATTCTGCTGTTTACAAGAAACACACCTCAATCTCAAAGACAGACACTACCTCAGAGTAAAGGGTTGGGAAAAGGTTTTCCAATAAAATGGACCTAAGAAACAAGTGGGTGTGGCTATACTAATATCTAACAAAATTGATTTTAAAGTAAAATCAATCAGAAGAGATGGAGAAAGACACTTTATACCCATAACAGGAACTTCATCAAGTTGAAGTCTCAATCCTGAATATCTATGCCCCTAATATAAAAGCACACACATATGTAAAAGAAACATTACTAAAACTCAAACCACACATCACACCCCACACACTAATAGTAGGAGATTTCAACATTCCTCTTTCGCCAATGAACAGATCAATCAGACAGAAACTTAACAGAGAAATAAGAGAACTAACAGACGTAATGAATCAAATGGACTTAGTAGACATCTATAGGACATTCTACCCAAACAGGAAATAATATACCTTCTTCTCAGAACCTATGTAATCTTCTCAAAAATACATTTCCACTTTCTTAACGACACCTCAACTTAGATGAGGCATGACCAAACTGAATTCACTGTCTCCAGTTTCCTCTTCACTCAATGAACAACTTCTCCATCTGACCCCATCATACCTACCTGAAAACTATCCTAACTCCCTTTCCTTCACCAATGCTTCTTCCTCTGTCCATCAGGTACAGTTCTCTGAAAGCTACTTTCATCAATACTATGAAACTCCTCACCATCTTTCACTGTGATTTCTGGACCCAGAACTTCAACTATGGGTGCTGTCCCATAAGAAACTGTACAAATAAATGTGAGGATCACAAACATCTTGTCAACATTAAAAGTTTTTTGAATGTACAACAATCAAAAATTAATTAAAAACCTATTCTACTATGAGTGCAAGGTGTTTAAGGCAGTGTTTTCCTGTGACCTACCACATGATTTCTCTGCAGCCTTGGACCTGAATGCACAACAAAAACCCTTTGCACCCCATGTGCCACTGTGCCTCACAGAGTCATCTCAGCTGCCTGAAACAACTCATATCAGATTCAAGGCTACTTACTGTATGTTATAAAGTACCGTGTTGTAATTGTATATACAAAGATATCTGCTCTTATACAAGCATGATATACTTACAGCAAACTAAACCTCACTATTTTCCTGTTACTAGAAAGCAAGTACAAACTGGCATTTCTTTGGATTGTATTTGATGCAATGTTTGATTTTGAAAAGTTTTATTTGAGTTGGGCAGTGATGGCACAGCCTTTAAATGCAGCACTTGAGAGGCAGAGGCAGGCAGATCTCTGTGAGTTCGAGTTCAAAACCATACTGCTTTACAAAGCGAGTTCCAGAGAAACCCTCTCTTGGAAAACAAAACTAAACTAAACAAAAATGTTGCTATTTGAGTTGGTGATTTGATTTTTACATATACACACACAAAATTGTCAAATGAATTTTTGCTTGAGATTAAAACAGAATGACCAACAATTTCTGAAATGACCTTCAACATACTTGTACCATTTTGTACTATATATTTTCATACTAATAATTATAAAACCAAAATATTAATCTGCACCCAAAATGTTGAAGATGTTCTACAGTATTAGATATTCAACCAGAACTGCATTCTTTTTTTAAGGAAAAACAAGCATTTATGCATCTCATAAGTATACAAATTTGCTTTCATTTTAAATAAATGACAAAATTATATATATTTCAAAATTGTCTCAAAATAAATTTATGGTTTTTTATCTACAATATTCAATTTGCAAACCTATTTTAGATATCTTTGTACCCAGGGTCTTGTAAAAATTTCTCAGACTAAAGGTAGCTTAGAGTAGGAAGGCTCGAGGAGCCATGCTGTGGAACATGACACTCTCACGGTGTATTTTGTCTTGCTCCTTTGTATCTCCCTTGGGCTGTTGCTTGCTTGGAATCTTCCTATTCTTTCTCCCGACCGTCCACACAACACCTTTAGAACATCATTTCTAATAGCTTTGCAGTGGGACCTAAACTGCTTTTCTCAGGAGAAATGTTCCACAGCACTCTACTTCGCGAACTATATGCAAACAGTTTGTATAATCAGAGCTTGGTCTGCTCTGAGAGACCCAGGTGTGTTCCATGTGGATGTGAAATTCTGCTTGTCTTTCACTGTCTCACTAACATAGGACAGGGGGGTCCTGTCTAAAACCTGGTGCTCACCTATTTGTTCAAAAGAAGAGACAAATGGGTGGCTTTGTGAAAATCATATCATTTTCTGAAATGGAATTTCTGTGTTGGTAAATTGGAGAAAGCTAGGAAGCACACTGCGTTATCATGTGACTCCTAGCAAGTGAAAACAAGGACTCAGCTGTTGCTAGTACCCAGCAAAGGGCAGCTGCTACGCAACAGCATGGAAAGATTTGACTGCAGAACAGGAGTGGCATAGCCATATTGAAATTTCACTTCTCTTTAAAATGTAACTTTTTGGTTTTCTACTCATTTAACAAACCTCAAGAGTGGCCTAGTTCTGACTGTGTGCCTCTGCAGCAAAATTCATGTGAATTGTGTAATACAGCACTAAGCACTAGACGGACTTTTTATTCCCTTAAAATGCTATGTAAAACTTAAACGTATTGGCACAGGAGACTACTTCCTAGATATAACCCCAGCAGAACAGACACTGAGAGAAGCAATTAATAAATGGGACCTCATGAAAATGAAAACCTTCTGTAAAACAAAGGTCAACATGCTCAACAAGTCAAAATGACAGCCTACAGAATGGGAAAAGATCTTCACTAACCCCACATCAGACAGAGGTCTGATCTCCAAAATATACAAAGAACTCAAGAAATTGGTCATCAAAAGAACAAATAATCCAATAAAAAATGGAGTACAGACATAAACTGAGAGCTCTCAACAGAGGAATCTAAAATGACTGAGAGATACTTAAGGAAATGATCAACATCCTTAGTCATTGGAGAAATACAAATCAAAGTAACTCTGAGATTACATCTTACACCTGTAAGAATGGCCACGATCAAAAACACTGATGACAACTTATGCTGGAGAGGTTGTGGGGAAAAGAGAACACTTCTGCCTTGTTGGTGGGAATGCAAGCTGGTACAACCCCTTTGAATGTCAGTGTGGCGATTTCTTAAAAAATTAGGAAACAACCTTTCTCAAGACCCAGTAATACGACTTTTGGGTATATACCCAAAGGATGCTCAGTCATGCCACAAGGAACTGTGCTCAACTATGTTCATAGCAGCTTTGCTTGTCATAGCCATAACCTGGAAACAACCTAAATGCCTCTAGACCAAAGAATGGATAAGGAAAATGTAGTACATTTACACAATGGAGTACTACACAGCAGAAAAATAAATGACATCTTGAATTTTTCAGGCAAATGGATGGAGCTACAAAACATTATTTTGAGGGAGGTAACCCAGACACAGAAAGACAATTATCACATGTACTCACTCATAAGTGGTTTTTAAATATAAAGCAAAGAAAACTAGCTCACAAATCACAATTCCAGAGAATTTAGGCAACAATGAGAATCTTAAGAGAGAGACATACATACATAGATCTAATCTACATGGGAAGTAAAGAAAGACAAGATAGCCTGAGTAAAATGGGAGCATGGAGACCTTGCGAGAAGGTTGAAGGGGAGGGGGAGGCAGGGATGGGAGCAGAGAAAAATGTAGAGGTCAATAAAAATCAATAAAAAAAAGACCCTATGTAAAGAGCCACCTTATTCTACCCTCACAGCATAAGCGACCCTTTTTTTTTCTTTTGGCAGTCACTCGAGGGTATTTTTTGAAGAAAGTGCTACAAGAATTGGTGGCTCTTATAAAAAAATGGTTTATCGTGAGTACACAGACGGCTCCTTCACAAGCCAGAAACAGAGAGGCCCTGATGAGGAACATCTTGGAATTCTGGGTAAATCCAAGTAGAGTACTGAGGGCTAAAATACTTTCTTCTTGATGTTCCCAATCTCAGCAAGAAAAGATTCAGAACCTGCAGCATGATTTCTAGAAAGAAGTCAGGCACACAGACAATCAGGTACCACTTGATATACAGCAGCTCGTTACTTTGCCAAAACCAAATTATCAGCCATAAATCTTCACTGCATCATGAAGAGATGAGGGATACTATGTGATGATTTAAGTAACCGACTTAACCAAAAGAGTACTCTCTCAGAAACCAAATGTGGTCTTAATGATGACCCCGGCTGCACCTGTCCTAAAGGTTGTTCCCAGTGAGCTCTGACATCTCTCATAAATAAAAAACAGTCTAGACTCAAGAGACAGTCTTCCTCTTTATCTACAAGCTGGGTGGGTTTTGAAAGTGACTTCATTTTCTATGTTTGTTTTTTTTCTTTAAAGTAGAAATAGAAGTGGTTTTTACTACATAAAACTTTATTAAGAATTAGATGAGGTATTAGATATAGTAAGAATAAGATGACCTCAATAAATGTCATTATGGATATTACATAAAACATTTGTATACTAAATAGCTGTATCTTTACTCTATAATTGATAACAATAGTAATTTTAGACTTTTCCATTCTAAAACAATATTGTCCTGTGCACCCAAGACAATGCATCCTAAACTTACCCTGACTGGGCACAAAGGCCATGCAGTCCAGACTAGGGTGAAAAATGTGTAGATGCTCCAGGTGCTTTTTTTGAGTTATGTAGACATTATGGATTAGTTTTTGTGATAGCAAGCTTTACTGACTTGAAGAAAGATAAGAAACAAATTTAATTTCCCTCAACTTGCATTTAAAAAGTTCTTGCAGTTCTCAAATTTTCCACATTGTAGCAATAATGAACATTTTAAACACCAAACTTTCCAACTTGCCACACACATGCACCTTGATCCTGGAATACTTGTCAGGGGACACAGCTAAGGCCAGTAACTGTTTTGCATATTTTGTATGTCACACAACAAATAAAGATAACAAATGTTCTCTTTGTCTCTAGGTCCTGTCATTTGGGCAGAAGTAGGAGACATCATTAAAGTCACATTTCATAACAAAGGAAAATATCCTCTCAGCATTCAGCCAACAGGAGTGAGATTCACTGTAGAAAATGAGGGGACATTCTATGCCCCACCTTCCCACTCTCTGAAGAGAGGTGAGTAGGAAATCCAGTTCTGAGAATGATGAATGACAAATACTTCCCATTACTTTCCAGAATTATGCAAACAGTAAATAAACCTTTTTCTTATCCTTTCCAATTAGTTTACAGAATATTCTCTCGTAATTGGATAACTACTGACAATCCAATAAGAATTTAGTTGGGCTGTATCAATTATACATTTCTGAGATACTACTGGATGGATCTTTTTTAAAGTTCTTTCAGTGTTAAACTTAGAGACTCGTTTTTTGATATTTAAAAAGTACAGAAAGCTGTAACCAAAAATATTAGTAATCTATAATTTCATAGATAATCACACACATATATACACACATGTATTTGTAATCCTCCTGCTTTCATCTGTATATATGTAACATACTTTAAATATGATTGAGTTCACAATATAAAATATACTGGAATTATAATTTTGTGATGTTTGTACTCTTAACATTATAAGGATTTAATAGTATGATTTTAATGATATAAAATATTCAATAATGTAGATATACTCTAATACTTTGTTATTGAGATTTTCTAATGAAGTTTCATGATTTTGCCATCAATTGCAATGTGACTATAAGCAGCTTATTGAGGCTTTCTGGATTCAGTTTCAAGTGAAAATTTAGGTAATTTGCAAGGGATCACAGAATAAGTTTCTCTTAATTCTCAAATCACTTTCTGGTCAGTTTGGTCAGCAGAAAATGAACTGATTACCTCCTACTGTCAGGCAGTGTTCTAGCTCATAGGACAGAGGTGATGAT